TTAGACTTTTTAAGCTTACTAATAAACTATCATCTAAACTACTTCATTTTCAACATCACATTTCTGGGTTTTAGACATGCGACGCGCGAATCACGTTACGCGTCCATCCCTCATTATACCTTCCCCATTCACAATACATCACATCCATATTAATTAATTAATTAAACAATAAACTATTTTATATTGACCCTCATTTTTATTTAATACTGATTAGATAAAAAATTATAAACAACAAACGAAAAAAAATCAATACATTGATGCAATTTTTTGAGTCAGTGTATCATTTTGCCCGAACGTTTAGAGTAAATGCAATACTTATTGAAGTTGATATGTTTGCATAGAATCACAATTATATAAAAGTAAAACAGAAAAATTGAAATAGTTTAAATTGTTAAAAAATTTTGTGATTAGATTTTATTATTCCAATAAGCTTGTGGCATTAGTTCTTGTTGGGGTTGTTAATGGAGTAACATACTCCGGGTTAGCTCCGGGTTACAAAATCATTTTTTACTCCAGAGTATAATAAGTATAAACCCGGGTAGTGTTCCAAATGGGTCAGTTAGGGTTTGACCCGATATGACCCATTTGATAATTTTCGGGTTTGGATTGGGTCGGATTAGGTTGGGTCAGATTCGGGTTATATGTGATAAAATTTGATTGGTTATTAATCATTTTTTTTCGCAAACATCTTATTTTTCTACTTGTTTCCTAATTATCTACACTATTTTAATTTCCCATTCATAATTTTCATAATTTTGTTTATTGTTGATTAAATTACACATGCATTCAAATAATTCATTGAATATATTATGAGAAGTCGATTCATCATATTATTCAAATATTTGCCGCATAAAATCCCTACCATTTGTGAATGAAAAGTGTCAGTGTGGCTGGTCTATAATTCAAAAAATTTAAAGAGCAAAGTAATCTTGTACATGAAGTAAGATCACTTCCCGATCAAATTCTCGATTACTGTATTCAGAAAAATATTTTTTTTTGCAATTTAGAAATATAATTTATTATATCTAATTTTAAATCTTATTTTTTTATCGTTAAAAATTATACAGTATTATTATAAAAAATTTTTATTATAATAAAATGAAGCAGTGTATTTTTGACTAATTAAAGCATCAGAAATAATTAAATTCATAGTGGCGCAATACTTCAAAATAATTAAAATGGATATTTTTGCTTGCATGATAATATCATTTTCCTGCTTATCTAATTCTTTATTATTAATCGCTTCTCAGTTTATTTTTCCTACAGTATCTTTCACATCATAATTAGTTCTTAATTACGATTAAACAATTTGTTAAATTTTACATATGTTAGTAATAAAATTGTTTAAGTATGAATTAAATTTCATCGTTGATCCGAAGTTTTATATCAATTTACCATACAGAAGCCTATTAATAAGCCTTTTCTTTCTCAAGTTGAATAGCTTAAGAAAAACACAACTCTGATACTACTGGGTCTTCAGGAATAGATCACAGTATTGTGAGTGCAATAGCCTCACTGTATAAATAAAAATTGATAAATTTGGTTTTTGCTTAATCGTGAATTAGAATCTTTCCCTTACCGATACATCTCAGCTTTATGTAGATGTCAATAACCTGATATATCTCCCCACATTCTAACCAACGCTTGCAGGCATGCCATACATCTCGTCCGGCTAAATATTATTATTTGAATATTATAAACGAGTATAAAATAATTTCATTAATCAAAGCCATCTGCGTACCTAAGGGCTAAGTGCAAAAAGTATCCAATCTTGATTAGAAAGTTCTTGTTTTCTTCACAGAATCTAACTAAACTAGAAAAATTATTTGACATAATTCCAGTGGCAAACTTGGATTAACTTCTAGGCCACCTAAACCAATAGACTGCTCTGAGGAATTGTGCGATAAAACTTCAAAATATATGTTAAAAAATAAATATATTGAAAAAGATTTTATATATAGGTGATAAAAGAAGAATGTCGTGAATCACCTTTTACGATTAATCTTGTATTATTCCTTCTCTGAAAAATAAATCTACGGACAATGAACTTTGTTGATCATGATCGTTTAAGCTCTCTTCGTCAGCCAAAAATTCCAATGTTTTTACTAAATCACCATCATATAACCTTTTTGCAAAATAGAAAATTCAATATTGAATGTTCTTACGTCGAACAAATATTGCACTCAATGGCAGTAAATTTTTTGATTTCTTGTTTTGAGTTAATATTGGGGAGGTTTCCGTGTTGAGCTTGTTTTGTAATAATTGTTGTTGAACAACATAACGGCATTAATGGTTTACAGCAATAATGAGAGTAAACGGATATTTCTATTGCAATAATCGAAATATCAGTCGAAAATTCGCAAATATTTTCAGATGGTCTCCATCCGAAACACATCGCGTCATCTCCAAATCTTTATCATCTAAACTCCATGCAGTACACATTATCCGTCCGTGATGACCATGAAATACAGACATAGAAACGCATTTCCCTAAATTTCATATCTTATGTATATTGAAATTAAAATTTTGATAAGAAAGAATACTTTGTCACCTACGCTACGAATCAAATCAGATACATACAGTACAATAGCCACCTCATCAGAAGAAGTTGAAATTGTTACTATCCAGCGGACACAGAAACTATAACGCAAGAATATATGTTGATACTTATGAAATAATAAAATCACTAAAATCATCCATGTTGTTCGTTTTACCGGTTGACATCAAATTTCCGAGTTTGAAAATTCATGAATCCGGATCTTATGATTATCGGTACCGGACTCAAGCAAAAAAGAATTTCCAGTTTCATTGGTGAAAGAGAATAAATTATAAAAGAGCAGTTTAATTGTATAAATGGTTAAGGAAAAGAAACAAATGTTTTTAAATATGTGAACCTAGAGGGCGCCAATTAAGTTTACAGAATCAAGGATAACGTAAGTAAAAGAATAAAAGGCATGCCTGTAAACAAAATCAACGCCAGAATGTCAGAATACGAAATAACCTTGGATAGTACTGTATATATTTCGCACATAAAGCTGATCTTTCCATATTTAAAAAATTGAGACTATAGAGCGAGATCTTATTTTTTTAAAACTCAGACTGAAAATAGAATGGGTCAAACGGGTCGAACCCGATTTTGACCCGACCCGATCTGACCCAACCCGAACTTATTACGTAAGCAAATAATCTGACCCGAAATATAAAATTTCGGGTTATGATCGGGTTGAGTTTCGGGTTAACCCGACCCATTCGGAACACTGTACAAATAATTCTAAACAAACTAAACAAGATTGATTAATTTTATATTGTTTGTTATAACTGATTTTAAAAATAATACGAGTATTAAAATCAAATTCAAAGATTAAAATCTTCATATAAAATATATCATTATATTACAATCACTAATCATGTAAAGGCATTTGGATGTGATACAAGGTTAAGTAAAGATGTTAGATAATGAGTTGAGTATTTGATAGAAAAATATTTGTTATTATTGATCTCTCTCAATACATGTCTCTCTCTTTTCTACATATAAGAAAAATTTCCAAATTCTAAAAGTCTCTCAAACCTCAATTATACCCTATTTGGGTGAAACCATCATATGTTCTTGGTACATGATTCTTTTTATCCCCCTACACTTTAAATGTTACAATGATAATAAAATATTCGAAATTAGCAAAACTTTCACTGTATATACAGTATATTTCATTATCTAGAGTATATTTACTTAATGTATAAAAGTTAATATAGTTAAAAGTTTAATATGTAATATCTTTGCGCGGAGACCAGAATAATCGATACTTCGATCAACAACAAATATAGACTATTTGTGCACAATTTTCTTATATACAGTAAAGGGTTGACCGTATGTACAAATGTTACACGGAGAACATGCATTACTGTAGTGAAAAAAAATGGACTCTTCCGCAATTCATAACAAATGGATTGAAGATGCCATTCGTAGTAGATATGTGACAGAGTTTGATCACCATTCGCTTAGAGAAATAGATATTATTTCAACAACGCCGTTAGCTGATATTAAGAAAGCTTATCAAATAGGATTCGATAGAAATGTCGCCCTTAAATATTTAAGGGAAGAACATTTTAAAACCGTAAGCGGATATCATAAAAATTTCTCGAGAGAGGTATCATATTGTTTTCTTACTATTAAGGCATTTTAAATCGGCAAAAAGTCTTATTTGACTATAAATAGGTTCGGAATTTGACAAGGTTAAATGAATTTAATAACGAAAATATAGTTAGGTTTTTAGGAATTAGCAAAGGTATAAAATAATTTATTAATAGAGGCCTAATTACTTGTGGTATTATTTTTGAAAATGCTAGCTTATTCAAATTATTTACATATTGCTATTAGATCCATCTCTGAACTTCTATTATGTTGTACTTCAAAGTACGTACGATCAAGATATTAAGACTTATTTGCAAAAAAAATTCATCGAACTAAGTTGGCCCCAAAAAATAAAAATGGCGAAAGATATTACCAATGGCATTTGTTATATTCACCGTGCAAATATTGTCCATTGTAGTTTAGTAAGTTTATATCTAAGTTAAATTTTTATAAAGTCAAAATTATATTTGTTATTAACATATAGTTCATCAAATTTTAATAGAATAATAAAAATATTCTTTCATGATGGCAAATTAGTGATTACGGGGTTTGAATTCTCAATATCTCTTGATGAACCAAACGAATATTTTGAAACCCTCGAATATTCGGATCCAGAATTAATAGTTTATGTAGATCCACGATTTCTTATGACGAACTGTAAAAAAGATAAACCATCGGATGCATATAGTCTCGGGATTTTATTATGGGAAATATCAAGTGGTACTGTTCCTTTTAGTGGTAAAAATAAGTTGGGCAAGGAGAAGTTGGAATATGAACTTATATCGGGAACTAGGGAAACTCCCATTGATGGAACACCTGTAGATTACAAGGAAATTTATTGTCAGTTGTGGAGTGACATTCCCGAAAAACGACCATTGGTTGAAGAGATTAACAGTAGTCTTGAAAGTATTAACTTCAGACATGTATATCAAAATTCCAATCAAATTCCGAAAATTTATTCTGGAGATAATTTATTTTCGGCGGCAGAAGATGAGGCTTTCGTAATTATTATACAGGGTTCGCCGCAAGATCAATGTTTTTTTCTTGGTCAATTTGAAACGTTAATTGGAAGGGACTCTATAAATCATATTATCATCAAGGATCAGGAAGTTTCTAAGAAACATGCTAAAATTACTAATTACCACGGAAGGGCTTTAATAATCGATTCTGACTCATCATCTGGAACTTTTGTTAATGATCACAAACTTATATCTTATGAAGCTTATACTTTAGAAAAAAAAGATCTAATTCAAATTGGAAGCTGTATTTTCCAATATTTTCCAGCAGAATACGAAAATCGTCTAGACTCTAAACTACGAATTTATAATGCGAGTTACTTAAAGAAAATCATGGAAGATGAATTTAAAAAAATCGATGAAAACAGGTCTATATTAAGTTTGATATTTTTTGATATAGATTACTTCAAAAAAATTAATGACGAAAATGGTCACGAAGCAGGAGATTATGTTTTAAATGAATTGGTAAACTTGGTCAGAACCCGAAGTATTCGTCCAGAAGATATTTTTGCGCGATACGGTGGAGACGAATTTAATATTCTTCTTAGAAATACCACCGCTGAATCAGCTTATGAAATTGCAGAAGCAATCCGAACCTCAGTCAAAGCACACTCTTTTATTTATGAGGAAAAGAAATTAAGAATTACACTTAGTATGGGAGTTGCAGAAGTGAATTCATTAATTAATTCTTTTGAAGAATTACGTAAAATTTCAGATGAAGCTTTATGTGAGGCTAAAAGGCAAGGTCGTGATCGAGTGTTTACATGGAAAAAGAAAACAAGTATAGCAGGTATTTAAAATTTCTAACTACTTCTTCGAAATAATATATTTAATGGTTAAACAATTGTTTAAAATTTGAAACTTCATGTTGCAGGATGTAAAAGTATTCAAATATATGAACTCATTAAGGATTTGAATATAACTGATAATTTATGTAACCTTAAAAATTTAATCGAAGACTACAAAGTGAAGATCTCGTCAGAAGCATTAGTCATGACTTTAGAGAAATTATCTGATACATCACCATTTAAAAATTTTTGTGACGAAAACACAAGTTCCCATTTAGAATTACATCTTAGGACTTACGTCACAACATTAGAGAGAGTTTACTATGCTAATATTTATCTTAGAGAAGAACTTTTAGATAAATTGCATCACGGCTTAGTAAAATTTGCGGAAGTTTATTATTATTCATTAAAGCCTATACAAAAAAGAACTGCATCTATTAGTGCTTCTTATAGTCATCACACAGCTTTATACAATTATAACATCAATTTCCTTCTTGTTCATCTGAAAGATACTCTGTATAATATGAAAAACGAAACGTTTCCTTCTTCAAAATTTATTAGATTAGTGCAACAAGTACTATCGAAAACTATACCTAAAATTGTGGCACCAATTTTAGATGAAGAAAAGCTTTTTTTCACCTACTCTATTTCAAATTGGTATATTACTTGGCGTGAGTTATTAACAGTCAATAATGTTTTATTAAAATTAGATGAGGATGAAAATTATCAAGTATTATATGAAAACGGAGAAATAATGCTTTTGGAAATTATTTGGCAGCATGTGTTTGACGAATATTCTAAATTTTCTCAAGTTGGATATGAAATAATGGATGATGAATTAAAATTTGTTGACATGATTCGTGACTATAAGTCAACATCTTTACCCTATTTATTATTATTCGGAGTTCTTGATTTGGTGCAAAATATAATCAACAAAACTTCACTGAAAATTTCTTTGGTCTTATGCTATTATATATGTATAGACACTTTGGAAAAAGTCAAAAATAATTTCATAAGATGCAAAGCTCTGGAATTGTTATTTATATTGGAGCATAAAAATGAAAACCAATTTAATGAGATAATTGAAGTTGAAATGGAGCTTTATAAAGAACAGGAGTATATTCAAAGTATAAGTATCGATGTTTTAATTGAAAAAATCAAACAGAAAATTGAAGTCGATAACTATATTTACAAGGTATCAGTCAAATCAAATAAGTCTAAAAATGGAAAGAAAAGATGGTACCTGCTCAGAATATTCAAAAAATGGATTCTGAATTATTAAACATCATAGCTGAAAAGTTAACCTGTCCAATAATGAAAGAAATAACTGGTGATTTTTGTGTGTTGGGATGTGGGCACTCAATTAGTAAATTTGCTGCTAATGAGTGGAAATCAATGTTACAAATTGAAGGCAGGAAGTTTGAATGTCCAATGTGTCGGACTTTAGTAAAACAAGAATCTATATTAAATCTTCCTCAGAATGCTACTATCAAAGGTCTTTACAAACGACTGGAGGAAGCGGGGTATTTTGATACATCGTATGAACTAAACCATGTACCATCAAATTCTGTGCGTGAATTTAAAGACGAGACTTTTCTAAAATTGAATAAGTTACACTCATTTGGAATGCCGGGATTTAATACCCATATAATAAATTTTTTTAACAAAATAATTCCAGAAACCTTTGATTTTGCATACCGCAAAGCGGTTGAGGCGGAAGAACAAGAAAACCATTTGGAAGCAATTATGTGGTATACTCGTGCATTAGAAAACTATCAAAATAGCTATTCTATTAGATGTAAAAGAGCCATCAATTCAGAAAAGATTAATTTATATTTAAAGGCAATTGAAGATTACTCAAATGCAATAAAGCTAAAACCTGATGAATCATTAGCTTACATAAAACGAGGTCAAATTCATCATAATTTTGGAAGATTTCAAAATGCGCTAGAAGATATTAAAAATGCATTGGTTATTGAACCTCAAAATATGTTGGCATTATTAACATGTGGAACCATTTACTTTTCACTTGAAAAATATGAAGAATCGTTGAATTATTATAGACAAGCTGATAAAATTAAACCAAATAATGAAGATACACTATTTGGGTTAGGAAAAGTCTATAATGAATTAAATTCTTTCGAATTATCATCTGATTGTTGGAAAAGGTTAATATCAATAAATTCTAAGAAAGTTGAGTCGTTATTAGATTATAATAAATTAAGTAAATTAAATATTAGCAATTTTAAAATAGGAAATGTGACGGGAAAAGCATTGGCCAAGGCACTAAGCAAAAATACCACTCTGGTAGAATTAGATTTGAGCCTTACCGAAATAGAAGAATCAACAGGAATAGCCATGGCCGAGGCATTAAGCAAGAATATCGCCTTGAAGAAGTTGGATTTAAGTTATAATGATATAGGAAAATCAGCGGGAAAAGCACTGGCCGAGGCACTATGCAAAAATATCGCCTTGAAGATGTTGAATTTAAGAATTAATGGGATAGGAGAATTAGTGGGGAAAGCGCTGGCTGAGGCATTAAGCAAGAATACAACCCTGACTGGATTAAATTTAGGTTATAATGCTATAGGTGAATTAGCAGGAAAAGCATTGGCTGAGGCATTAACCAAGAATACAACCCTGACAGAGTTAAATTTAAGTAATAATAAAATAGGTGAATCAGCAGGAAAAGCATTGGCCGAGGCATTAAGCAAGAATAACACTCTAACGATTTTGAATTTAAGTAATAATAAAATAAGAGGATTGGCAGGAAAATTACTGGCTGAAGCTCTGAATAAGAATAACACATTAATGGTTTTGGATTTAAGTAATAATAAAATAGGAAAATTTGCAGGAAAGTTACTGGCTGAGGCTCTAAGTAAGAATATCACATTGACAAATTTGAATTTAAGTAATAGTTGGATAGGAGAGTTGGGAGGAAAAGCTCTGATCGAGGCATTGAGCAAGAATGTTACCTTAATGAAGTTGAATTTAAGTAATAATTCGATAGGAAAATCGGGAGGAAAAGTGCTAGCCGAAGCACTGAGCAAGAATACTACCTTGAAGGAATTGAATTTAAGTAATAATAAAATAGGAAGATCGGAAGTAAAAGCACTAGCAGAGGCGCTAAACAAGAATAGCACCATTATAGAATTGGATTTAAGTAATAATGAAATAGGAAGATCAGAAGGAAAAGCACTAGCTGAGGCATTAAGTAAGAATACCGCCCTGACAAAATTGAATTTAAGTAATAATGTAATTGGAGAATTGACAGGAAAGGTACTAGCCGAGGCACTAAGCAATAATATCACCCTAACGGAATTGAATTTAAGTAGCAATGGAATAGGAGAATCAGCAGGAAAAGCACTAGCCGAGACGCTATGCAAGAATAACACATTGAGCAATTTAAACTTGTGCGATAATTGGATTGGAGAATCGGCAGGAAAAGTACTAGCTAAGGCCCTAAGTAAAAACACCACCTTAAAGGAATTGGACATGAG